AGGGCCTACTATGAGTCAAGCGCAGTGCATGCCCAGCGCTTTGACATTTCTTATTCTACCTCCCAGCTGCTTTATGAGATGGGTCATTGGCTCCATTTCAAAGATGAGGAAACTGAGCCTCAGAAAGCCTAAAATCAAGTGCTGCTGTTGCTACCTCCTACCCTCCCCCAGATGAGAACTGCCCTTCTTTCTCTGGGACTTCCTGCTCAGAGCCTCACCCCAGTCACCTGTGGACTTGACTTTGCCCAGGGAGGGACAGCCTTGCCTTTGTTGTCCTCCCCTGCACCCCCACCTTGCTTTCATTGTTTGCCGTCCACTTCCTGCCAGGCTCTGTCGATAGCATTTTGTAGCACCCATCACCTCTCCCCACCCAAACCACCCCCGGCTAGTCCTGGTTCCCCACCCAAATGTGAGGATCTGCACTGCACTGTCTGCAGCCCCCACCACAAGCTGCGGGCAGGAAATCTCCACACTCACCCCCAGCCTGCTGTGTGACCTTAAACAAGTCACTGCATCTTGCTGGGCCCCCTCTAAAACTGCAGGACTGATCCACACACAGGTTTGCAGAAGGCCTTTTCGAGGCTGATTCTCAAAGACTGACTTATTCTTTCAGAGACACACCACATGGCATTTATTTACTTATGTATGTTTAGTCTTTTGTTTTGTCTTAAAATACAAAAGGACATTGACTCCTCTAAATTCTGATGGATGGCCAGGCGGTCTCTGAGGAGGAGCAGGCTGTTGGGAGTTTCTCCTCATTTGTCTTGCCCAAACCATTCCCATAAGGCAGGCATTTATTTTTAAGCAAACACTTACTGCACACCAGATGGCATTCACACTATCTCATTTAAGCCTCTCAACCGCCGTGTGGCTTGGGCATTTGTAACAGCAGTTCTAGTTCATGTTTGCTGAGCACCAACAATGTGCCAGGCTCTGGGCTGGCTGACTGATTGACTGTTTTTAAAATTTTTTTAAACGTTTTATTTATTTTTGAGACAGAGACAGAGCATGAGCGGGGGAGGGGCAGAGAGAGAGGGAGACGACACAGAATCCAAGGCAGGCTCCAGGCTCTGAGCTGTCAGCACGCCACGAACCGTGAGCTCATGACCTGAGCCGAAGTTGGATGCTGAACCCACTGACCCACCCGGGCGCCCCTGGGCTGGCTGATTTGCGTGGGTCATCTCACTGCATCTTCATAACTACTCTCAAAAGAACCATTCTTCCCCCCCACTTCACAGATAAGGAAATAGGGGTGCAGACAGGTTGAGGTCATTAGGCTGATGAGCAGTGGAGTGGGGGGTTTCAGATACCAGCAGAATAACTCTAGAGCATTGCTCTTAACTGTGAAGCTCTCCTGCCTCCTGCAGTTTATGATCCATGTTCTCCCAGGAGGGAAACTGAGGCTGCAGAATCAAAGTACTTGTGCTCAGCGCTGCCGGCTGAGATGCAAAGTCCGGGCCTTGTCCAGCCCATGACAGTGGGCTGGCAGATCTTTTGAGTCTTAGCTGGAAGGGGACGTACAGCCTAGTCACCAGAGCCTGTTCTTCTTAACCAAGTGCCACCTGCTGCCCCCACGTGGGGGGTCTCTGGTGCCACCTGCAGCTACATTGTCCAGGACCTGATGGAGACAGACCTATACAAGCTGCTCAAAAGCCAGCAGCTGAGCAACGACCATATCTGCTACTTCCTCTACCAGATCCTGCGGGGCCTCAAGTATATCCACTCAGCCAACGTGCTTCACCGGGATTTGAAGCCCTCTAACCTGCTCATCAACACCACCTGCGACCTTAAGGTCAGAGGATTAGGTACCTGTCCCCTCCTCCCATGGGTCTGGGGCTTCCCCCTTGAGTAGAGCATCTCCAGCAAAAGAAACCATGTGGGCAGAGGCGCGCTGATACCACCCCTTGGGCCTTGGAGGCCTTGAGCTTACCAGCCTCGGTGGGCTTCCAGATCTGCGACTTTGGCCTGGCCCGGATTGCTGATCCTGAGCATGACCACACTGGCTTCCTGACAGAATACGTGGCCACACGCTGGTACCGGGCTCCAGAAATCATGCTTAACTCCAAGGTAAGCACCCCCCCCCCAATCCTGAAGGAGAGGGACCAGATTCCAGAGAGCTCGAGAGCCACCTCTGAGCCAGACATGACCCCCTTGATGCAGGAAGTCTGCCCCCCAGCCTAGTCACGTGACTCTAGTTCTTAGGCTCTGGAAAGAGGCTGAGCATTAACTTCTCCAGGCTTGTGCCCTCTGCCTCCCTGGCTGGTATTGAGTCTCGACTGGAGTAGTGGCTTGGCCCAAACAGCAGGGCCCTGCTGAGGCTGGCCTGGGAGCCCACTACTTTCTCCTCCTCCCCAGGGCTACACCAAGTCCATTGACATCTGGTCTGTGGGCTGCATTCTGGCTGAGATGCTATCCAACAGGCCCATCTTCCCTGGCAAGCACTACCTGGACCAGCTCAACCACATTCTGGGTGAGGGGGGCCCTGACCAGCTGTGGGGTGGGGGGAGATTTGTGGGAGGTGAGATTTCTTTACAGTCAAGGTACAACCACATATGGAGCCCCTACAGCATCTCACAGTATTTCGATGAGATACAGATACTATCCCCATTCGATAGATGGGAAAAGCAAGGCTACAGCCCACACTTTGGAAGTGCTGCCATCAGGATTTGAACATAAGGGCTGCCCAAACCCAGACCCCTTGCCCTTCATCACCATAGTATCGGCTGAGAGATTAACTGTCAGGGCCTGGAGCTCACTGGTGGGGACTCTAGTTTCTCTGGTTTTTGTTCCTTCTGTTCCCAGAAGGGAGAGAACTCTCACCAAGACATCTGCCTTACCCACAGGTATCCTGGGCTCCCCATCCCAGGAGGACTTGAATTGTATCATCAACATGAAGGCCCGAAACTACCTGCAGTCTCTGCCCTCCAAGACCAAGGTGGCCTGGGCCAAGCTGTTTCCCAAGTCAGATGCCAAAGGTGAGAGAGACATGGGCGTCAGTATGGGATAAAACCACAGTGCGGAGAAAGGTACATGAGCCAAGCAGCTGGCTGAGTAGATAGGACCCTGGGCATGAGAAGCAAAGCAGTGCTTCTGGGAACTCTTCGGCCTCCCTTTTGACCCCCGACTCTTGCCCTTCCCTAGCCCTTGACCTGCTGGATCGGATGTTGACCTTTAACCCCAACAAACGGATCACAGTGGAGGAAGCACTGGCTCACCCCTACTTGGAGCAGTACTACGACCCAACGGATGAGGTGGGCCAGCTACCAGCAGCAGGGGTGGCGGGTAGATGGGTGGGTGCGCATCCCTCAGTACCCGGCCTGACTTCTTTGCCACCCCAGCCAGTGGCCGAGGAGCCTTTCACCTTCGACATGGAGCTGGATGATCTACCCAAGGAGCGGCTGAAGGAGCTCATCTTCCAGGAGACCGCCCGCTTCCAGCCTGGGGCACTGGACGCCCCCTAATCTGGACTGACACCTCTGCAGTTGGAGGCCTGGTGAGTGCTCCCCGCTGCCCACGCACAGATTCAGCCGATACCAGTGTGCCCAGCACGCCTCCATACAGTCACGAGCTCGTTCATGCCCATGAGGCATGTGCATGGCGGCAACAGAAAGGCTGGAGCCTGCCCCGGACACAGACCTGGGGGCCACCAGTTCTTCACATCCATCTTCCTTTCCCCCAGCCCCAAAGGTCTCCCACCTGGCAACTCCCGCACCGCACCCCCCCACCCCGGGACCTCGGGCCCCTCTTCCCCACCTGAGGGACAGCCAGGGCTTGGCTCTCCTGGTATGGGCAGAGAGGCAGGTAGGGCAGTAATTGCTTTGGGAGGAGCCAGCAGTACCCGGCCTGACCCAGATGCCCAGCTTCCTCACATCTGGTGCCCGGGTCAGCGGCTCGCACCCCCACCCACACAGGGCTCCTTCCTCGAGTCTCCTTTCCATCTTTCCAGCCAGCTGCAGCTTGATGGAAGGAAGGCAGACACACCTGGGCTCAAACTCCAGCCCTGCCTCTTAGTAAGAGCTGTGCGATGTTGTGCAAGACACCTCATCTTTCTGTGCCTCAGTTTCCTGGGGAGAGTCCTGATGATGAGAGCAAACACAGGGCACTAAGCATTGGTGTAAGGGGCTGATATGTGTTAACTCATTCAGCCCTCCGGCCGTCCTTTGAGATAGGCACTGATGTTAGCCCCATCTGCAGTTGAGGAAAACAAGACCCATCCCAGTCAGCTGTGAGGAACAGATGAGGGAACGTGAGGTCAGGGCTCTGGCCGGGCATCTGGTGGGTGCTAATGGCTCCTTTCCTGCCTGCCTTTCTGTTTAGGCCCTGCCTCCTGCCTGCCCCTCCCCTGCTGGACTGTTAGAAAATGGACACTGTGCCCCGCCCAGACCCCCGGCAGCCCCAGTCAGGGCGGAGGGCGGGCCTGGCCACCTTCCCTGGTTTTGCTCTGGCGTCCTGCTTCAGGCAGGCCAGGGTTCCCTCCGCCCTCCCTTCCTTCCCTCCCAGGACCCGAGGGGCTTAGGTGGCCCCCACGCAAACCTCCCTCTACAGCTTGCCTTTGTCTACCCCGGCGATCCCAGTCTCTGGTAGTTCTGGAATGGAAGGGCTCTGGCTGCCCCAGGACCTACTGAAGGGCAGTAAGGGGACAGGGGACACTGAGTAGGGACTCAGGGCTAGCCCTGACCCACTAAAACCCCACCCCATTTTCCCTGAAGGAATGTTCCTAAGGCTCAAGGGCTAGTATCCCTGAGGAGCAGGGCCCGGGCCTAAGCCCCCACCCCCAAAACTGCCACATCTAACAGCACCCCCTGCTGCCTGTGTGTGTGGGTGAACAGAAGCGGAGCCGGGGCACCGGGAGAGCCTGGTGCCCATGCCCGCCCCTGTGCCTGTGTCTAATATATAAATATAGAGACGTGTATGTGATGGCCCTGGCTCTGTCTGTATCCGCCGATTCCCCGCCCTAACCGTTGCTTTGAGGACCGCCTCGCCTGCCCAGCCGCTTCCCAGTGGGCTGGCTTTCCCCAGTCCTGGTGCTCTTTGGCTCCCCAGCTGGCTAAGGTTGAAGGTGGGAGTGTAAGGAGCTCAGACTCCAGGACAGAGTGGGGTCAATTTTCCCCTTAGTCACTGTCCTCTCCCCTCCCAAATGGCTTCCCGTCTCACTGGCTGGGGGTGATTTGGGGGTGACTCAGGTACATCCTACACACCCCTGGATTCTCTGGAAATGGCAAGGGGCGGTGTGTTGTACACCCTGGCCACCAGCTGCCATGGGCGGGGGAGGGGTGTAGCAGACCCAGTGGTTGGGGTGGGGGCTTGTTTCCCCAGCACGGCCGGCAGAGGAGAGAGGGGAGCTGGGGTCTATGGAGGGTCTAGAAGGTGTGAGAGCCTGAGCTGTCGGGCGCCTCTCCTGCCTGTACCCTGGCCCCAGCTGAGCCCTGCAGCCTGGCCTCAGGCCAGGAGCCGGCTCAGCAGGTCCCAGGGGTGTGGTGGCTACCGGTGGTGGAGCCAGCCTACATCGGCCAGGCAGTCAGTGCAGACAGCACAGTCCATCAGGAGCAGCCGAGCGTGCGGTAGCGGAAGCCGGAGAGGCAGCGTGGCCATGAGCTCGCTGCTGTACTATGCCCTGCCCGCCCTGGGCAGCTATGCGGTGCTGTCCGTCTTCTTCCTGCGCCGGCCTCGCCTGCTGCACACGCCCTGGGCTCCTGTCTTCCTGCCGCGCCTAGGGGCCCACCGGGCAGGTGAGCTGGGCGGAGGGGTGGAAGGGAGGACAGTGATGGTGGCTACCGAGGGAGGAGTAAGGACAGCAAGGCGCCAGGGTGGATGGTGCGGTGGGGGAGGTCCAAGCAGCAGGCTGTTAGGCAGAGGGCAGAGCCCGAGGTAGGAGGAGAGCAGCGTGGCAGGGCAGAATGTGGACGGGGGAAGAAGAGGCAGGGGTGAGGGGAGAGGCGGGAGGCCAGGCTCCCGGGAACCATGCTGCTGCCCTACACAGGATCTGGAGAGCGGCTGGAGCACACCATGGAGGCCATGGAGAAGTGAGTGCACCTGCCAGCCGTGAGCTGCGTGACACCAGGAGGCGCCGCTCACTTCCAAGTCTGAGTGACCAGGGCGCCCTGGAGGTGTGCAGTGCACAGCCTGCCCAGCCTGCCGTGAACTCCCCGCCATGCTCCCCTAAACCTCCACCCCCCGCCCTGTGGTCTGTCCTGTTCCTTTCCCCCGGCCCCTCTGCACTAACCTTCACTCCCACAGCTCCATGGCCCAGCGATGCGACTTCCTGGAGCTTGACTGCCAGTTGACACGAGACGGTGTGGTGGTGATATCACATGACAAGAACCTGTCCCGCCAGTCAGGCGTGAATAGGGATGTGGACAGCCTGGACTTTGAGGTGGGCCTTGCCCCAGGCCCCCGCTGTACCCAGAGAGCCATGGTGCCTCCACACGCGTCTCCTGGTGACGTGCTCCCTCTTCTCCCCAGGAGCTGCCCCTCTACAAGCAGCAGCTGGAGGTCTACTTCTCACCAGGTGAGAGCCCTGCCTCTTCTCTGGGACTCATCCCCTTCCCCCGGGGCTCCCCCCAACCCAGGCCCCTCTGATCCCTCTTGCCACAACCCACCCAGGGCGCTTTGCACACGGGTCGGACCGGCACATGGTGCGTCTGGAGGACATGTTCCAGAGGTTCCCTCGGATACCCGTGAGCCTGGAGATCAAAGAGGAGAACGAAGAGCTCATTAACAAGGTGGTGCTGCAGGCTGGGGTGGGTGGGGGCCCGGGGCTGGAGAAAGGCCTGACTCCCCTTCATGTCTCCTCCACTCCCTCAGGTAGCAGACCTGGTGAGGCACTTTGACCGAAATGAAATCACCGTCTGGGCCTCAGTCAAGGGCTCGGTCATGAAGAAGTGCAGGGCCGCTGTGAGTCCCTGTTTCCCTCCCTGCTCCAGCCGCCCCTCCTGCCAGGCGCTGGAGGCTCCAGGGGCCTGGGCTGGACATGTCTGGGGTGGTGTGGAGGAGCCAGCCCTGAGCAGAGTCTCAAGGGGTAGGATGTGGAGAGGAGAGGTGCTGGGGACAGGGGGAGCACAGGCATTGCTGCGGGGCCCAGGAGGGTGCAGCGAGGCCTGAACGCCGGGCTGACCTACAGCTCCGATCCCGCAGGTGGTGGGCCTCCCCGAATGCCCAGCACGGTTTCCCCTGCAGCCCGCCTCCCCTCTCTGCTTTCCTGGGAGCAGACTGACCCTCTTCTCCCTTCCCCTTGCCTCACAGAACCCCGAGATGCCGTTCTCCTTCACCATCAGCCGAGCTCTCTGGTTGGTGCTGCTCTATTACCTGGGGTTGCTGCCCTTTGTGTCCATCCCGGAGAGGTTTTTCTTCTGCTTCCTGCCCACCATCATCAATAGGTACCCACAAGGTCCCTGCCTGCCTTCTGCATCCTCCCCCAGGCCCCCAGATATGCTTTTGTCCCCAGATAAACTCCCCCCCACTTCAAGCCCCGCCACCCCAGATCCCCAGCTTCCAGGCCACCCTCAGGGATAACCCCCAGGGGCCCCAGAAGAGAGTGATTTTCACTGAGCATTGACGAATACTGAGTGAGGAGGCTGCAAACCCTTTGGATTTCTGGGCAGATGTGTGTTGAGGTGGATGGGCTTTTAGGACAAAGTGTTCATTTATTCATCCATTTCATCCAACAAATATTTATTGAATGTCAACTCTGCTCTGGGCACAGTTACACTAGTAAATAAGCCCAGTGTGAGTGGGGTATGGCCCTCGGTGAGCTTACAGTCTGTCTGGGAGACAAATAGTAATCATTTCTAGTATCATTCTCCGATTCTCAAAAGCAAAAGCAAGCTTTTTCCTGCTGGGAGAGTGGGATGAACAAAGTAACAGCTGGGTAAAGTATCAGCAATATGGATACTTCATGAGCTCGGAAGCCTGGCCCCTCCCTTCCCTTTCTGAGAACTCTGTGACAGCTCGCTTGTCCTTCTCCCCTCTGTTCCCCTCTGTTCCCCTGAGGGAAGCTCCTAGCCAGCCCCCATGGTCTCTTGCTACAAAGACATTAGACTACAGAACTCTAAGCATAGTACTTTTTATATGGTGTTCACAAGGTGTCTTCACATCCTTTGGTTGATCAGAGCTTTACCTGTGGCAACCCAGAAGACACTGGAATCATGAACCCCCCCTCCCATGAAGAATCTGAGGCTCAGAGAGGTTCTGTAATTTGCTCAAGGCCACACAGCTAGAAGTGCAGGGCCTCAGTTTGTCTGGGTCTGACCCCAAAGCCTTTGCTGGAACATTATAAAGGGCCCCGAAGGCCATCCCTGAAGCAGGCCAATCATAGCCAAGTAAGCCGACCCATTGGAGTGCTGTCTGGTCACCAGAAGCTGATCAGGCCCAACCAGTGGGCCTTGAGATTGTACATCTAGCTTGAGAATCAAGCTGGGTTCTGGTCTTGGCCCTGACCCCACCACAGATGTGCTACGACACCATGGGCGAGTCACTTTAGCTCTCCACAATGGAGTTTCCTCTGCTGTACAACAGTGGGGGAGGGCCACACTCCAAGTACGGAGGTAGAGGTGTGCACATAGAACCTCACTGAAGAGGCGCCAGGGTAACACTGGTCAGGGGTCGCTACCACTCCTCTCCTGTGACAGAGTGAGCCACAGGGGGACTGATCGTGATTCCACCTCTCTGCAGGACCTACTTCCCATTTTCCTGCTCTGGGCTGAACCAGCTGGCAGCTGCGGTTTCCAAATGGTGAGGCGGTGCAGATACTGGGTGGCGTGTCCCCATGGAGACCTGCCACTGCCCTTATCCTTAATCCCTTCTCATCATGGCCTCTGCCACCCTCTACCCACCAGGTTACTCATGAGGAAAGGTCTGATCCACCACCTGCAACAGCGAGGAGTACAGGTGAGGCTTGGCTGCCACCCCCTCACAAGTGGGTGGTTCACAATGTGGGCCTAGCACAACATTCCATTGAACAGCTCTGCCCCCAACTAACAGGGTCCCCTGGGTAGGTCACTTTCGGAGTCTCAGTCTCTTGATCTGTGAAATGGGGATAATGGTATATTTATCTGGTACCTAGTAATGGCTCGACATGTGTAGCCATTATCCTGATGGTGCTGTATGAACCTCCTGTCCTGATTCCTGAGGAGGGGGTGAGTGGGGCTGGGGAAGAAAACCAGCCCGGCCTGGCCCTTCCCCTGAGAATCCACTTTGATCTTTCACTAGCGAACCTTTGTTGAGAATGCACTCATTACAGGCACTGTGGTACCAGAGACGGAGAAGGGAGCTTACCGTCAAAGCAGGGGCAGAGGAAGGAAACGGGCAATTACAGGCACCAAGCGCACAGAAAGGAAAACAGCACTGTGGTCGGTAGGGTCACAGGAGGCCTTCTGGAAGAAACGAGGAGCTGGCTTGCACGGAGAGGAAAAGGAGAGGAAAAGGAGAGCATCTCAGACAGGCTCAGGCTGTGGGAAAGCTGGGAGGAGCCAGAGGCAGGCGGAGGAACTGAGAGGTTCCCCCAGGCTGCGGAGTAGAGGAAGTGCGCACGGGGCCCTGGAGAAGGCGGCCCAGGCCGAGGCAGGCAGCCTGTGAACCTCAGTAAGGAACCTGGACTTCAGCCTGGAGGAAGGGAAGCTTTTGAGGGCCTGAAGCAAGGCAGAGACCTGATCCAGCTGAGTCTGTGATTAGGGGTCACCCTGTCCACCACGTGGAAAAGCGACTGCGGGGGCCAGTGTAGGAGCTGCCCTCACTGACGGATCCTGGGCTGCAGTCCTGGGCTGCGGCATCAGCATGGGATGGGCGGAAGAGCTGGCTGACGGGCCAGCACTCCGCAGCCTGGATGTGGGGGTGAGTGAGGCAGGGGGAGGACTCGCCTCTTTCAGATTGGCAACCTCCACTCCGTGGGCCTTCACCACCACTCTGGAGGTTGGCCCATTGCTCTGTTTGTCATGTTAAGAAACCGAGGGGTCCAGTGGCTTGCCCAGGGTACAGACACCATCTCTACCCACCTCCGTGCCCACGAGGGAGGATTCAGGGGGCAGGACAGACAGAGAGCCGCCGTAGATTCAGGCAGCCTGAGAGACCCCCCAGCTGGCTTTCCCGGGGAGGGGAAAGTGCTCTGATTAGAGCGCTAGACGACTTCCCTGGTTGTGCATACTCTCCCCTTGTCCAGTTTCAGGCTACCACCATGACGTCATTGAGCACAGAGCTGGGTAGTATTTCCATCTTACGTGTTCAGCAGATGCAAGAGCATAGAGAATAGTAAAATGTAGTAAAATAATTAGGAAGTGATGAGTTTTGAGTACTTATTACCTTTGTTTTTAAAATAGTTTATTGAATTACAGGTTTATATAATTTAATATTTAATAATGGCTGTGTTTAATAACCAGTTTGCAAAATGCCTGTCTAACAATCCACTCCAACTTCCCACTGCTGGGAGGCCTCCACAGAGGAGAGTTCCCACCCTCTGGATTCAAGGGGAAACTCCGGGTAAACTTGTTTGAAACTATAAGCCCCTCCCTCCCCACTCAGGTAGTCTTTTGGTGCCTTAATGAAGAGTCGGATTTTGAAGTGGCCTATGGCCTGGGGGCCGCTGGCGTCATTACAGATTATCCCACGGCCCTGAGGCGCTACCTGGACAACCATGGAGGGGCTGCCCAGGCCTCCTAACAGCCCGGAGGCCCTCACCCTCTCCTCTCTTTCTCTTCCTCAATAAATATTTTCTTTTCAGTCACGTCGTGGTGTTTGGGGGACATGGGTGGGAGGAGGTCGGCAGACTGCAGATGGCAACTTAGGGCAGAAGAGGCCAGAGTCTGGGGCCCTAGCCACCCTGACCCACTGGTTCCGCCACATTCCAAACCCAGAGTAACACCACACCCTGTGCCAGCCTGGCCCCCACTCTCCTCAGGAATGTCCCTTGCAGGAAATAGCAAGGATCCTGCCCCTTCAGAGCCACAGGTCCCATTCTCTTGAGGCTATGAAGGGCCTCAGACACAGGACAAGGGACTTCATCCACCCCCTGTGGGTGTCCTCACTGGGATGCATGGCCTCAGAGGCTGAGTTTATACAGTCGCTCCTCTGCTGCATCAGCCTTTCCAACCTTCCACTCCCAGATCTACTCCACAAGTTCTCCCAAACTCCTCAACCCTCTCCAACCCTAGTACCTTCTACAATGAATGAATCACATGTTTCACAAACCTGTGTTGGCTACTCTAGGCCAGGCTGCGTACTGGGGCCATTGCAGGGAACAAGACAAGTCCCCTAGGGCAGAGGCACACATTTTTGAGTTTGGAGTCACGTGAGAAGCCCACGGCAGACACCTAACTCAGCCTGCAGAAGCAGGGGCATCAGCGGAGGCTGCCTGGAAGAGGTGATGCTCAGCACCAGGAACTGGCTTGTTCCCGGGCTCTGGCTCCCAGAGATCTAACAGGGACGGGCACCGTTAGCTCTTCCATTCCAAAAGCCTGTCCCAGGTGCTACGGCAAAGACGGAGGAATCTGACCAACGTGAGAATTCCAACTTTGCCTCTTCCCAGCTAGATAACCTTGGGAGCGTTGCTAGACCTCTTTGACCTCTGTTCTCCTGTAAAATGGGGAACAAAAGCTGCCTCCTAGGATTGCTGCGGGGATTAAGAGTGGGGCACAGGGTGGTTAAACGCAGATAATTATGGCTATTATCTCCCCGGGGACGTGCGTCCAGACACCTAACCCCGCGCCTGGTCTGGCACCGCAGATACTCGCCCCTTCAGGCACCGCGGGAGGCCGGAGGGGCGACGAGACCCGGGCCGCGGTGCCGCCTCGCTGACTTGCGGGCCGCAGCCGCATTTCCGGGCCGGCCGGAGCCCGGAGCAGGGGGAAGGGCAGCCGAGGCCTGCGCCGGCCGCGTTGTGACGCGCCCCCTCATTTGCATGCGGCGCGCCGATTGGCCGCGGCGGCCGCCGGGACCAGAGGCCGGCCCCCTCCCCCTCCCGCCGCAGCGGCGGCAGCAGCTGGTCTCGGTGTAAACAAGTCGCGGCGGCTGCGAACCCGGGCCGGGGGGGACGGCGCCCACCAGGAGCGCCCCCCACTCCCAGGCCAGGCCACCTCGGCGGACCGGGCCCCCGCGCGCCCAGGCGAGGTGAGGCCCGCCGCATCGTCAGGGCTGCGCGTCGCCCCGCGCCCCCGCCCCGCCAGCGAGGACTGCCCCCTTCCCCCGACGCCCGTCCCCCATCCCCGCGCCCCAGGTGAGCCCCGGGGTCTCAGGTAAGGCTCCGCGATGCAGGTAAGAGCCCCTCGGCCTAGATAGCGCCTCGGCGCACCCCAGGTAAGAGCCCCTCCCCTCCTAGGTGACCCTCCACCTTCAGCGAGGGCCTCTGCCATCTCCAGGTGAGGGATCCTCTCCCCAGGTGAACTCCCTTGTCCCTCAAGTGGAGCTGCTTACCCCCCCCCCAACCCCACCCCACCCCGCCCTTGGCAGTTCAGGTGAGGTCCTAAGGACCAACCAGCTCCTGACCCCTCCATACTCCCCCTAAATGAGAACTGACAGCTCATGCACTCGAAAGCCCCTTGCTCCAGCTTCAATTGCCAGGTCATCAGGGATGAGTCCGGATGTAGATGGGTGACTCACCTCAGGCTCCTTCAAGCCTCAGTTTCCCCGTGATGCAACTTGAGGCCTCCTCAGTGAGTCAAAACCGAGCCGGTTCTGGCCCCTGGAGAAGCTGCTGGCTCTGGGGAGAGGAGTCAGCAGCCAAGTGTGACGGAGAGAGTCCCCATGGCCCTGGGTGTGCCTGCATGTGTGTGGCTCTGGGCCTGACACCCCCCTCCCTCTCTGGCAGGCACTGGGCTCCCTCTGCTCCCCGTGGGCCGCTCCCCGGGTGGGGCCACTGCCCCAGGCCCCCGCCATGGTGCGTATTTCAAAGCCCAAGACGTTTCAGGCCTACTTGGATGATTGTCACCGGAGGTATAGCTGTGCCCACTGCCGCGCTCACCTGGCCAACCACGACGACCTCATCTCCAAGGTAACCAGGTCACTGCTGGAGGCTAGAGGGGCTACCAGGCAACTCTCCCACCAATGGCCCTGACCCCCTTCCTTTCTCCCTCCCACCCTTTAGTCCTTCCAGGGCAGCCAGGGGCGTGCCTACCTCTTCAACTCTGTGTGAGTATTTGGTCCCCCTTCTTTCTTTCCCTGACCTCTCTTGTGACATGTGACCCCTGGCATCTCCTGCTGAGACTCCCAGAGTCCCCTGATTCAGGTTGGAGGATGTGATCGCCCTTCTCTTGGATGCTAAGAACAGACACAGTTGAATACAAGCTAGAGGGGGGCTTTGTGTTGGCGGGACCCTCCCTGGGACTGCCCCCATGTCCCTGCAGGGTGAACGTGGGCTGCGGGCCGGCCGAGGAACGGGTGCTGCTGACAGGCCTCCATGCTGTCGCTGACATCCACTGCGAGAACTGCAAGACGACTTTGGGCTGGAAATATGTGAGTCCCTGACCCCTGACCCCAGGCAAGCCTTTGACCTGACCTCACTTCACCTCCTCCTCCCAAGCAGTTGTCTGCTAACCTTCCAGAGCATACAGGCCCAGCTCCCGCAAGTCAGGCTGTCTTTTCATCCCCTGACCATGTCCTCTTCTGTCACATCTTGCCAGGGCTTTTAGAATTTTTCTCTCCCCTCATCCCTCTCCTCACATGCACATGCATCCCATTTTAGAGAGGAGGCCATCAGCAGAATGACCATTTATTGAATGCTTACGTGCCATGCACTGTTATGTGCTTGGCATATATCATCTCATTTCATTGTTACAACAATCCTGTGGGTAGAGTCTATAATTATCTACACTTTACAGAAGAGAGGAAGGCCCAGAGATGTTAGGTAACTTTCCCAAGGTCACACCGCTGGTAAGGAGCAGTACAGGGACCAGAATCCTGGTTGCGTGTTTTTTGTTTGTTTTTAACTCCAAATCCTTGCCCACCACCGGCTTCCATTGCTGTTCAGAGGCTCCGAGAAGTTGCCCAAGACCCCTCAGCAACGTGGAACTTGGGTCCGTGAGCTTCCTTTTCACTGCCGTCATTGCCACAGCTGCTGTCTAGGGTCTGATTTCACTACCTGAGTCTCATTTCTTTATCTGGCCGTGGCAGACAAAGGCACCACCTGGCACCCAAAATTGTTATGGGGATCAGATTAGATGCAGCAAAAAGATGCTCTTGGGAAACTGTAGGGGACGTGGTTCCTCAGGCTTCACTTGGAGTTTTGGTGCCTGTGGGAGGTGGATGCCCCCAGCCGAGGCAGGCCACCTGCCCTAGTCTGAGCTCACCCTTGGCCTTGCCACAGACTTGCTTCATGTCCCCGGACATGTGGCTCGGCCTCTCTGGACTTCTCTAAAATAAAGAGATGGCCTAATCCAGATGCCAAAAGCTCAAGGGTTTGCAGGGCGAAGCCGAGACCATGGCTCTGCAAAAGGGGCACCATATATCTGGGGGTGGGGAAGGGGTCTGTGGCAAACTGGAGTAAGCACAGCCTGCCTATATCCTAGTATTTTAGCATTCTTTTTACTGAACTCTCTGATGGCCAAACAAAACATGTGTGTCGGCCAAAACTGGCCTTCAGGCTACCGGTTTGTAATCCCTGGATCTTTTAGAAACTTCCATATCCTCTCTGTTGGAGCCAACATTAGAACTTAAAAAGTACCAGTAATTTAGAGAGCTCTGTGTGTCCCATTAGTGAGAAACCTGGCTCTGTCACTTACCAGCTGTGTGTCTTGTGGGCAGGTGGTTTGGCTTCTCTGCCTGACAGTTTCCTTATATGTAATATGGGGCCAGTCATATCTACTCCTCAACCCGATCCCTTTTGGTAAAGCTCTGGCCCCAGGGATGACGTCCTCTCCCCTCTTTTCAGGAACAGGCCTTCGAGAGCAGCCAGAAGTACAAAGAGGGGAAGTACATCATTGAACTCAACCACATGATCAAAGACAACGGCTGGGACTGACCCCTGCTCCTGCCGCATGTGGCTCGAGCCCGGCCTGACCGCCAGGGGGCGCCACTGGCTTCCCTCCCCGAGAAGGGAGCTCTGGACCCTCAGGGCTCCTGAAGAGGAAGGATCCAGCTCCTGTACATATATATTTTATTGCATGCACTGTGACCTTGGGGGGAGATCAGAAGGTGGACGACACCCCCGCACTTCCCTGCGATCTGGCTGGCTTGGATCTCATTTTTAACCCCGTCCTGCCCCGCCCACCCTATAGATATGGCCTGTGTGCTGCTCTCCTGGCCCCAGTGCACCGTCTGCCCTGTGAACTTCTCCCACCGGGCCCCTCCTACCCCACGCGTGTCAGCTCCCCTTGTTCTGTAGCGTTTGTACATAATAAAACAATGGAGTGGAGAAAGCCCCAGGCTCACGTGGAATCCGGGAGAGGGGGACTCAAATGCAGATTCCTTCCTTTGTAGACCTGTTCTTTTCGAGGCCCCCACGTGGCATGGAGTAGGCACTGCGGTCCAAGCTGGGAGTCTGTGCTCAGGGGACTCAGGCATCTGAGACCCAGGACCGATCTCGCTGTCCGTACTGATTCCCGAGCCCGCTCTGGCTCCCTAGGCCTTGACCTCGGCGGACCCGCGCCTTCTCAGATTTAGCGTTTTGCCGCCGCCTAGGGGCCAGCTCTCCTGGGAGGCAACCGCGCGGCCAGTTTCACCGCCCCGCTCGTCGCGACTACAACTGCCAGCGGCCCCAGCTGCAGCCGTCCGTCTGCTCCGCACCGCCTCTCGGCGCTGCGCCTGCTGGGAAATGTAGTTCCGAAGGTTCCCCAGCGCGGGCCCTTCTGGGAAACCCAGGCGCCAGCCGTCAGAGACTGTCCGGCTGTGGGTGCTTTTGCACTTCGGAGACTCGGCGGAGGGTGGAGATTGTTCAGAATGGGACGCAGGAAGGACTACAGAGTTCAGCCCTCTGCTGCGGACTCCTCGAGGCCCCCAGTGCCCCGCGTGACAACAAGCTCAGGCTGCGTCCCTCCAGCTCTGCTCTTCCCCTCCAGTCATGCTTCATCCTTCCAAGTGAAGGGGGTGGGGGGAGGGGGGTCACCTGCTAGAAAAGTGTGGGGCGCCAGGGTCTGCCCCGGACTCTAGACTCCATCCCAGGGTCCAGGCCCCGCCCCTCAGTAGCTTATCCCTAGCCGGGGCTCCCCCCGTGGGAACGGGGACCAGCTGGCCGGAAGCGCCAAACTGCGTCCCTGTCGAGCCCCGGGGATCAATCAGGCCGAGGAGTTAATTATGTAATGAGGGGGCAGGGGGTCGGGGCTAATGAAGCCTGGGGTGGGGGGAGAGAAGGGGAGGGTACCCAGGTATCCGGCCCGCTCTTGGACCCCTTCCAGGCCCCAGGGGTCTCCACCCCAGCCCAACTCCAGGGCCCCAAATAGGGGAGGGGCTGTGATCCTGGGTCTGGAAGGGGCTGAGCTGTGAGCTATAAAGGGGGCATCTCTCAGCACCGGGGGACTCTAGGCAGCGTGACCTGAGGCCAGACAGGACTACTCCATGTACCATCCACGAGAATTGTACCCCTCCCTGGGGACAGGCTACCGCCTTGGGCCCCCCCAGCCGGGAGCAGATTCCAGCTTCCCGCCTGCTCTAGCAGAGGGCTACCGCTACCCTGGTGAGCATGGGGACCAGCTCCCGTGTAGAGGCCGTGGGGGGCTGTGGCCCTCTGCTGGCTCCTCATTCCTCCCCCATCTCCAGATCTGGACACTCCCAAATTGGATTGCTTCCTCTCCGGGATTGAGGCTGCTCCCTGCACCCTGGCCGCTCCCCCACCCCTGCCCCCGCTGCCCCCACCCCTGGGCACTGAGCCGGCCCCCCCAGCCCCAGACGCCATTCATTCGCTCCCCGGAGTCAGCCTGAGCCTGGAGAACCGGGAGCTGTGGAAAGAGTTCAATTCCGTGGGAACAGAGATGATCATCACCAAAGCTGGGAGGTGAGGGGCTGGGCCAGGGTCAAAGGGCCCAGTGCGCTCCTGGTGGGGGTCTTCTGGGAAAGGCAGAGTTCCTGGTGAAGGGGCTAGGTTTGGGGTTCCCAGAGGGTCTAGAGTGCTGCCTAAGTTCAGGGTGTGATTGTGGCCTGGGTCACAGGTTACTCTAAGGCAGGATCAGGGGTCATTCTGTGGCAAAGGTCAAGGGTCAGTCTGTGGAATCTGTGGCTGGTTTAGGGACCAACCTATGGCAAGGGTCCTAGGTCAGTCCGGGCCTGGGTCGGAAAGTATGGCTGGGTTATAGTAGAGTTCATATGTGGCCTCGATCAGGGGTCAGGCTGTGACTGGAGCCAGGGCTCAGACTATGACTAGGGTCAAGGGCCAGCCAGTGACCAGCATGCAGAGGAATCTGCGTCAGAATCAGGGTCCATATGTGACTAGGTCTGGGGTCACCCTGGAGGCATGGTGTGTGGCCTGTGACCCGGGAGCTTGGGCCCGAGCCCGGTAAGTCCTCTGTCCTGCTGAAGGCAGGACATTTTTTCCTGAAGCAAGTTTGTCCAGCAGTGTCAACTGTGGTGCTGGAGATTAGGTGAGGAGACCAGAGTGGGAAGCAGTAGGCTCCTGGCAAGACTTCGGGGACAGAAGTGTCACCACTGCTTCTGCACATGGGAGTTTGAGGAGCTACGAGTTTGGAGTCTGGCTCTGCTCCGAATCTGTGTGACCCTGGTCAGATCACCTGTGTCTCCTGTCACTTCCGGCTCCAAGACCCTGCCCTCTGAATTCTAATTCCACCTCTCTCGGCGTTTCTCAGACAAAACTGGGTGAGCCGATGGTGGCTGCGCCCACTCCTGGCCAGCGGGTAGCGCCAGGCCTCTCCCCTCCCTTCCCCTGTCCAGGCGCATGTTCCCTGCTTGCCGAGTATCAGTCACTGGCCTGGACCCCGAGGCTCGCTACCTGTTTCTCCTGGATGTGGTTCCAGTGGATGGGGCTCGCTACCGCTGGCAGGGCCGCCGCTGGGAGCCCAGTGGCAAGGCAGAGCCCCGCCTGCCTGACCGCGTCTACATTCACCCTGACTCTCCTGCCACCGGGGCCCACTGGATGCGGCAGCCTGTGTCTTTCCATCGTGTCAAGCTCACCAACAGCACGCTGGACCCCCACGGCCATGTGAGGCCCTGGCTGGGACAGGCTTGGGGGTTGGGGGCGGGTCCCCGGGCGGGGAGTCATCTCGTTTCTTCCCTCTCAGCTGATCTTGCACTCCATGCACAAGTACCAGCCCCGCATACACCTGGTGCGGGCAGCCCAGCTTTGCAGCCAACACTGGGGGGGCGTTGCCTCCTTCCGCTTCCCTGAGACCACATTCATCTCTGTGACGGCCTATCAGAACCCACGGGTAAGTGACGCCGCTTGAGGGGGTGGTGGGCCCCACCCAGGCCATGGGAGCTTTGACCCTGGATGTGTGTCCCCAGATCACACAACTGAAGATCGCAGCCAATCCCTTCGCCAAGGGCTTCCGGGAGAATGGCAGAAACTGTAAGAGGTGGGCACTGTTCATTCATTCACTCGTTCATTCAGTCAATGTCTATGAACTGCCCGCTGTGTGTCAGGCATTGTGCTGGAGGTGAGGAACGCGGTAGTAAGGAAAAGCATTTATTCACTCAGTGATTCCGTGGATACTTAGCACCTGCTATGTGCCAGGCACAGTTCTAGGCACTGGAGATCCGTCAAGGGACAAAATAAATGAAGCCCCTGCCCTTATGGAACTGATACTCTAGTGGACAGAGAAGACAAGTAAACACAAGAAATAAGTAAAATATGATGTGTTAGGGTGATACGTTCTGAAGAGAGAAGAAAGGAAGCTAGGAAGGACTGGAGTGAGGTATTTATTAGATTAGAGGCCCGTTCCAGGTCCTGAAGGAAGTATGGGAGGAAAAAGTCCTGAAGGAAATATATTGGATATCCGAGGAAACGCCAAGAAGTGGGAACAGCATGTGCAAGGGGCCTGAGGTAGAAGCACAGCACACCCTGTGGTGTGGCTGGAGTGGAAGAGGCGAAGAGGCAAGTCAGAGGCGAAGGGTCACCCGGCATTGTTGGACAGTAGAGGTTTATTTAGGACTTTGGCTTCTCTTCCGAGTAGAGCTCCCTCGGAGCTGTTCTTTGCCCTCAAGGAGTGTACAGTCAGGCAGAAGAGGCAGCTGTTAATCAAAGGGTCACCGTAACAAATATAAAGCAGAGCAGTTGACAGGTGCTATGAGGGAGGCTGTGGGAAGTCAGGGGACTTCCTTGAGGAAGTAAGACAAGAGTGTGAACTGAGTCAAGGAAGAGCTAAACAGGTGAGCAGGGGCAGACAGAAGACGATTCCAGAGGACGGCTGCAAGGCCGTGACGGGGGGATGGGTGCGGCCCATGCCCGGGTCTTTGAGCCTGGGAAGGAGTTTCCCAGATGCCATAAATGCAACAGGAAAACTGTTGTAAAGTTTTAAGTGGGAGACACTTTGCAGTCACTTAATTCTCTGGCCTTGAATTCCTTCATCTGTAAAATGGGTATAATGGCACCTACCTGACAAGGTCCCTGGGAGGGTGAAAGGCCTGGCACCTGGTAAGTGCCATTATTACCACCATCATCGTCATCACTATCATTATCGTCATCATCATTGTCACTGTCCTCTAGGGAGCGAGATGCCCGTGTGAAGAGGAAACTGAGGGGCCCAGAGCCAGTGGCCACAGAGGCCTATGGGAGTGGAGGTGAGTGTAGTCTCAATAGTGACGGGGCCCGTCCTCCGATGCTGATCCTCCTTAACCCGACCTGTATCTTCTTTCCAGATGCACCCGGGGGGCCCTGCGATTCCACACTGGGTGGGGACGTCCGGGAGTCAGATCCTGAGCAGGGCCCAGCCCCCCGAGAAGCTGCCCAGGCCCCGGGCCCTCCGTGCAGCGGCCCCAGCGCTGAAGCCTACCTTCTGCACCCTGCAGCTTTTCACGGGGCCCCCAGCCACCTTCCAAGCAGGCGAGTGGGACGAGGGCGCGGATTGGGGCTGTTTCCAATTAGGGAGCCCCGTCTCCCGTTCTGACGCCTCCTCTTTACCTCAGGAACCCCAGCTTCCCCGAGGCTCCCGACTCCGGCCACCCGGCCCCCTACTCAGCTGCCTTCCTGGAGCTGCAGCCTGCAGGGGGCTCAGGATACCCCGCGGCTGCACCCCCAGCACCCTTCGCCTCACACTTCCTCCATGGGGGGCCCTTCCCCCTCCCCTACCCCGGCCCCGGGGCTTACCTGGATGTGGGCTCCAAACCCATGTACTGAGAGCTCTTGCTGGGCCCCTCTGCCTCCCTCCCTGCCCTCCATCCCAGACCTTCGCTGCCCTTCCCCCAGGCCTGCAGCCCCATCACTTCCACTGGCCCCAACCCCCACACCAAATGGCTGCCGGGGGCCTCCCCCACCC